GGAAAACACGCTTTAGTGGACAAAATTTTCTTGGCTAATCGATTTCCACTTAACCGTGTTTTACTGTATATATATATATATATGAGTAAGTTAATTACTTCATGCACGTATTATTAAAGAAATATTTAAAAGTTTTTAAATATTTCGCAAATAAAAGTATGTACATACATGTGTTATGTTTTTTAGTATATATATCTATGTTTATTTTTAATTAAATTTTTCTCATATAGTTTTTGCGCGCGTTCTTATTCGTATAAAAATATTTTCTTTTATAACTATTTATAACTATCATTACTTTATATTGTTTTTGATTATATTGAAATATAAATCTAAATATCTAATATTCATGCATATTGTCATTAAAAATATAGTTCGACTTTTTAGGTGGCATTATAAAAGCCGTAAAGCCGGTTTAATGTATAGTTTAAATGAAATATATTGTAAATTATTATTTCTCCAAACGTCCTCTAATTTCTAAGTCATATTAATTAATACTATCATTTAAAATAAGGGAACTACTACAAGCAGGAGTAGAACTCGAAAAAATTTGCTGGAATTTAAGGCTGAGCCTAGTCAGAAGAAGACAACCACTATATTTCTGCGTTTGCAAAATTTGAAAAATGATTATGGTTTCTTTGCAATAAAAAGTTAAAAAATGGCATTTTTACGGTTTTAGGGGAATATAACTTTTAAAGGGGGGAGATAGATAAAAATTTTCTTTTACGGAAATAAGTTTCTAGTAAAGATCTATTTACATATAAAATTTAAGCTTTCTATCTTCAAGGGTGTAGAAATTTTGTAGACACACGAACTGGCGGATGGACGGACGGACAGAGTGAAACTAACAAACACTTTTTTTTTCGCAAAAACTTTTTGAAAAAGGGCTAACAATTTATTAACAAACTCATTTCTGTTTATCGTTGCCACAATTTACTTATATGAGCATTCTACGCATATACTGTACATTAATGATGCAAAAATAAATAAAAAATTTAATAAATGGTAAAATGGACTTTTTTCTTCAAATTTATTCGTTACAAAAATACATTAAAATTTGAATAATTTCATATTAATATGCAATAAATTCGTCCTACATATTGTATATATTAGATTAATAGGCAAATTTTAAATTCATAGGTAAATTTTGAAATCATATAAGAAAACAAATTCGATACCATAAAAACTGTTTAATTATATGTTGATAAGGATAAAATACACAAATTCTTATCTTGGATATAGAATTTTAATTGTTGGATAATATTTATAGAATACTAAATTTTGTTTTGTAATAATAAGCCATAAATATTTTGGTGGGTATAAATGAAGGTATTTCTATTGAAAAGAATAAACTGATATAATCTGAATTTTTTGGCTAAGTACCTACTCACATAATTTTTAAATAATATTAAACGGAGACCTATTAATATCAAAATACAAGAGTAAAATATTATTATTCGTTGCTTTATTGTTCGCAAAAGGTCTCCGTTTTAAATATCGAAGTTTTTAAAAATTTATTCTAGTCGAAAATTAAAATAGAAATTAATGTAGAAGGCTATACATGTGGCTAGAAAATAGTGTAAGAATTTCTTGTTACTTTCAACTCTGGATCATACTGAAACTATTATATATTCCGAACTAATACTATAATACAAATTAAGCTTCTGCATAATTCAAATATAATACGTGGAATCAGAAAACTATAGTACATGGGTCGTGTTGAGAGATATATATTTTCTTTTTATTTCTATGCAACGATCTTTATTTCAACATTTTCGGTCCGATAAAATCGGACAACAATTGTGTGTCCGATTTTATCGGGCACACAACTGCCAAGTTTCATGAATCTAACTTTATTATTTTTCCAAATATTTAAAATTAGCTTATGGAGTTGTATGGCTGGTACCCGAACCTGTCAAGCAATTCCTCCAAAACTTCGGAAATATATTTGACCTATAATTGGACACATGACTGCCAAGTTTCATGAATCAGACTTTATTATTTTGCCGAATATAAAAAATTTGCTGTTGGAGTTGTATGGCAGCCACCCGAACCGGTGCAGCTATCCCATTATAATTTCTAGAGCATGTGTAGAATATAATTGGACACATGTATACAAAATTTTATATTTATAGCTTTATTAGTTTTTGAAATATTTAAAATAAACTCTTGGAGTTGTATGGCAGCTACCCGAACCCGTTGTCCGACTTAGTCCAATAACAATAGGGTTCGTCCTTGGCACAAAAGAAAAAACTTGTGAAAGTTTGGTGTCGATTGCATTATTCGTTTTTGAGTTATCGTGCGATCGGACGGACGGACGGACGGACGGACGGACATGTCTAAATCGACTCAGAATTTTACGCTGAGCAAGAATATATATATATGTCCATACCGCAGATGACTCCTTCAAGTAGTTACAAACTCCATACCAAAGTTAATATACCCTTCACGAAGTGCAGGGTATAAAAAAACTAATTATACCACATTGATTATACATATCTTATTAACGTGGCAATTTCGCTGGTTTTAACAAAAATTTAATAAATTAATAATTTTTATTAGTTTTAAAAAGATTATTTATTTGAGTATATGAAATACTTAATTAAAAAAAATATTCAAATATTGAATAAAGAGGAATCAAAAAATAAGAAAGGTTGAATAAATAGGTAATCAAGAAATTAGAAATGAGTGACTTAATACCTCCACTTCATTACACTAGTATGTTATCTCTTCAACCTTTGTGTCTTGCAATCTAATTAATATGTTTTATTTTATTCCTTATTATTCCGCCTCGCTGATTACCTCCACAAGACGAACAAAATTCTGTTTTGCTTAAAGGGAAGTCAAAATTCGATGATTCAACTTATTCTTTTCATCCTACTAAATGTATTATTTATAATTTATTGCATAAAATAATATAATTTTTATTATATTTTGTATTAAGTGTTTCAAATTGTTTAAAAAGAATTTTTGTAACTTATAAGGCATTGGTTAAATCCAGTTGTTGACATACTATATTTAATTTGTTGACATTAATTTCAAAAATTAATGAAATAATCAAAGAAACAATATGAAAAAATAATTAGTTTTCATTTATGGTAATGTTCTTCCTTAAAACATATACAATTTTCTCTTAACTGGCTATCTATTCATTAAAATGGTTTTTTTTGTTGACTTATTTTTTATTTAATATTTTTCTATTGTTTTCAGTTTCTTATGAAATTATGGAGAAAACATTGAAAATAAAAGAAATTAATTTTAATTTTTGATTTTGTTTCTTAAAAAATTGTACATTTAATATTATTGTGTTAATAAAACTTTCCTCGTTTATTTTTTTTACATAATAACAAGAGGTTATGACAATTTTTCTTCTTCTTCTTAATTTTGAAACTTTTAAAACGAAATCTACTGCCCTTTTAAAAATATTTATTTACCTTTTATTTAACGAAAAACTTTTAGCTTTTGAAAATTTTAAATAGAAATATTTTTTAAGAGGTTTATCAATCGAAAAGAAAATTTTAGGAAAAATAGTCTAAAAATATGCAATGTTTTGGAATCCAATTTTAATTGCATTTGTATTTAATTAAAATAAAATTGTGAAGAAATTCCTTCTCGAAATTTTTGAAAATGAAAAAGTTCTGATTGTTAAAAAGCTTCAAGGTTAGGCTTCGTTAAAAGACATGGTAAACTAATGGTTACGAATTGTATTTATTAAAAATGTAAAAAATTTTAAAATTATGTCTCAGAGAAACACGACTGTACAATTATTTATTCAGACGGATTTTTAAATTATGTGTAAGTATTTCATAGAGTATTAAGGCAACTTAAAACTCCAAGTATGCCAAAATGCGTAATATGGCGAATGCTGTATAGACTTAGCTATTGTTATTCACTCGCTAATTTTTTTAATTTAGAATAATCAATAATTGGTTTAGAATAATCAATAAATCCACTCAAGCGAGTTTGTACACAAGTAAATGTAATAACATGTAATACGAATGCTTTTTGTGCCTCTTGCACAGTTGTTCGAATTATTAATACGCATGTGCGGATGTTAAACAACTAAAGTGGTCAGATATATTAAAATCGTAAAATTCAGTTTTGGTTTAGAGAGAAAATGACTCAACAATATTAAATTTAATTTAAAAAAAAATTATTACCGACCGCATTACATACAATAGAAAGTTAGAATAGGAATATGTTACTGCATGCTACGGAAGTGTAATTAGTTTATTTTTGGTGAAATATCTGTCGGTATATCTGCCTCTTTGTATGTCAGACTGTCTGCGTAGATCAGTATCTCAAGTTCGGCTGGACTTATATTCACTTAAATTTGTATCTGTGTTTTTATTGAGGATGAGACAGCTTCTTCTACTTCTAGGGTATATCAGGTCTTTGGAACTAGATCTTTACTATGGTCCAAATTTATAATTTTGCGCATATAAAGTTAAATAATTAACCGATTTTATTGAAATTTAATGTATGACTTCATTGTGTTAAAAGAATGAAACTGTAAAATTTTTGGGAATATTAGAGCTCGGAAACCTAACTAGGGTTCAAATTAACATGTTTTAGCATACCAAAAGGAACTACACTCAAAAAAAAAAACTTAATTAACTATATCTAAATAACATACATGTTCCAAGTTATATAAATACCGTAATGTACTACATTATCTAAAAAAGTCAGATTTTTAAAAATACGTAATTTGAATGTATTTTTCAATTTAAAAAAATGAGTAAGTGAGATTAATACGACTAAACTTAGAAACTTTGGAATATTATTTCTTAAAATAGAAATGTCTAATCAATTATTAATACCACATCTTGAGAATGCGACAAAAAACAACTACTTTATAATCACTAAATATATTTATTTATCAGTAATATTAGAAACTTATTTAAAAAATCAAAGTTTTGGTAACAAACAAGTGAATTGAGTCTTTAAAATTAATAAAATTCAATTACTTTATCTTATCTCTGCAATGGTATCTTAATAATTTCCTTTACTTAAAAAATTTGTTCCTATAAGATAATAACAAATTTACTTATTAATAATGTTTCTCCAGAACTAAAACTTCATTTGGATACAGCATAGTCCGATTTGCTGGTATTACGTCTCTAAAATTTTAATTTGTTTCAAATCAAGTTAATAAAATCAAGTAATTAAACAATTTGCAAATATTTACCCAATTCTTCTTTTGGAGTGTTCATTTACAAATAAAACTTTCGAATGATTCCGATAGTTTTGTGCTATTTCTTGTGGTGTCGTTCCAACATTAAACAATAGTTCGATTCGAGAAGCTCTTACATTTGTTAATAATTAAAAATATTAAAATCGTTCAAAAAATAGCATTTTTTAGCAAAATAATTATGAATTACCTGGTTACATTAACTACAGATTCATTTTCAACGTCAATAAGGAATGCGGAATCGAAAAAGTTATATTTCGCACGCAGTTCGGTCATAAATTTAAATTGGTTCAAATTACTCAAAGGCCTTTGACGTTGTTTTTTGACGTTACGGTATTTAAAATCTGGTGAAACTGGCAACCATGGTTTTAAACTTTTTGTAAATCCAGCCGATTCATTATCGTTCCATTGCATTGGTGAACGTTCAGCATCACGAACATCTTGAATATAGTACGATTCAGGTAACTCGATATTTTCCATACCGATCTCCTCACCCTTAATGATAATTATGACTTTAAATTTTGGTTTTAAATGTACCTAAGTACTTGCATACTATATATGTAAACTTACGTAATAAGTGACAGTTATCCCAGGCAATGACAACATAAATATATTTAACAAATTTGCTTTATCGCGACCAACTCTATTAACCACACGAGGCTTGTCATGATTACCGAGCTGAAAAAGTCCGTTTAATTTTTCGTTTTCTTCAATAAATGATTTCGAACGAAAAAATTCGTAACTTACCACCCAATTTGCAGTTTCGCCTTCTGGCATGGCGTCCGTCCATTGTAAAACACATGAAACATATTCCGAAGCAGTAGAATTCTCGTTTAAATTCAATAAAAGAAAGTTAAACGGAAAATGAGCTCCTTTTTTTCCATTAGCTCCATAATATTTCATTTTTTTTTCTAATGGTGAATATGTTTCAGCTAAAAGTATTCTAAAATATCAGAAATTGTTTTTATATTTAAAAGCAATTAATTGTTGAAAAAACCTTAATACCTATCATCTCCGCCTTTTAATTTCGTGAATTTATCTAACGTGTCGCGCCATTCGTAGATTATTTCAAAAGTTTCGTCTTGGTCATATGTATAAATGTGATCTAAGGAAGCGTAGTCCTCTGGATCAACATTCGGAATAACTGGTTCATCGCGAAAATCCTTGTCTTCAAAAATATGTGGAACTGCATCAATTCGGAAGCCATGGACCCCTCTGTTTAACCAATGTATTAGTACTGCCTAATATAAAATATTTTAGCAGGAAAAAAATATATGATTATAGTCTAATTTCTCAAGTTACCTCCATTTCCTTCTTTACTTCAGAATTACGGAAGTTCAAATCAGGTTGTTCTTTGTAAAATTGATGGTAATAAAATTGTTTTCTTTTTTCATTCCATGTCCATGCACTACCACCAAAAACACTTCTCCAATTGTTTGGAGGCAATCGATTACTTTCGTTATTTTTGTCTGGTATACCGTCATGCCATACATAAAAGTTTTCATAACCTCCTTCTCTTTCAACAGATTTTTTGAACCAATCATGTTGATCACTACTATGATTTGGTACGAAATCTAATATAATTTTAATTCCAAGTTTTTCTGCCTTTTCAATCAATTTGTCGAAATCAGTTTGAGATCCAAACATAGGATCAATAGTTCTAAAGTCAGATATATCGTATCCATTATCAACCATTGGTGATTTGAATATAGGTGATAGCCAGGTAGCATCAATGCCAATTTCTTTTAAGTAGGGCAAGCGTTCTGTAATACCAACTAAATCACCTGTACCATTACCAGTACTATCTTGGAATGATTTTGGATAAATTTGATAATAATTTGATGTTTTCCACCAAGCGATTTCATCATCATCTTCTGCTGCTACATTTAAAGTCCTACCCCAAACTATTAATGCTAAAAATAACGCGGAAAATAATTTTAAGACCATATTCACTTTTTTCCAAAAAGTTATATTTATAATTGAATTGAAGGATTTGAACAAAATTAATTAACTAAATGTTTTTTAAAAATTGAACGTTTATATATTTTGTTTAATATTATCTAATCTTGGTAACAGAATGGTTTAATTCAAAAATATCAGATTATACAAAGTTTTGAAAAATTATAAAAGAACCATGGATTATAGTTCATTGATATTTGAGAGCGGTCTTCGATTATTCCAGTGTTTATAAATTTCTTATTAAATTGTTATTTTTAAATTGTGAAATGTAGATACAGTCAGACTCGAATAATTATAAACCTAAAATATAAAAATATTTATTGCAACTAATTGGATTTGCAATATTCCGAACACCGGATAAAATAATGCAAATGTCATTCAATTGAGTGGCTTAACTCTTAATCGAAATTTCAAACACGTTCAAAAAATTCGATTTGAAATATAATTTTTACTTCATGTAAAAAATTTAATTTTTTACTTCATTAATTAAATAAAAATTAGCTTCAGAAAAATAAGATTACTATAATTTTGTACACTTTCAAAATAGTTGCTTTCAGTTATGCAGACGGAAATAAAACATATTTATTAAACATACAAAAAATTAAGAGATTGCATTTTATAAATTTTAGAGTTGTATGTCATAAAACTCAATATTTGAAAAGGATAAAGCATTTTCTTTGATGAAAAAGTTCTATATTTCTATATGCCGTTTCTACCTGTAAGCGTAGCAGAAGGCAGACAACATCATAAGGCTTCATTGAATCGCATTGTTCTAAAATGGATTATCTTTTATTTTAATTGAGATGAAAGTTTTCAATTCATTCGCATGTAGATTCTATGTATTCGAAACTTTTGTGTATTGGGTTTTTTCCAATGTAATATTTTAGTTTTTGAACTTTCACCTAAAGATCGTACTATTTATTCGTTCAAAATCATCTTTTTTCCAAAAAATTTGGTTGTCCATTTTAAAATTTCAAAAGTTTCATGGTGCTTTATTTTTTTGTTCTGCTGACTGTATGTTAATTGCAACAATGCGAAGCATATAACTCTTTTCTTGTTATATCAATCCATCTAAAATTTTTAGTTCACACTTGAAATCTATTAATTTTATTTTTTCGTATAAGTACGTTAGTATTGTAAAAGTTGTTTAAGATTGACCAGTCCGTTTTTAACGTTTAAAAATAATGATCTGAGACAAAGACACAAGCTTATGATTGTGATCAACGTCAATCTAACCATTAAAAAATCTTAAAAACTAGAAGATATCGTATTGAAATTTTACACGAACGAATATGGTGTTAGAGATTTTGTGATGTTTGACAAAAGTCGTTGAATTTTTTTGAATCCTTTTGGTATACCGCCGTGCAATTTCAAAAACTTTTTGCTCATATCTTAGAAAATATTGAAGCTACAGAATTGAAATTTTGCCGAAAAAGTGTGGTAAAATGTTCATTATCTTCACTTGAAGTCGTTGAAAAAGTAGTGTTCGAGAACTATCAATATTCAACGATAAACCAACGATATTTTCGATATTTCATCGCAAAGCTATCGCGACGAAATATCGAAAATTTGTAACGCAACTTGCTGTATAGTATAATGCACCGGTGACCTGTATTTAAATTCTAAAGCAGGCATGTCAAACGCGCGGCCCACAGTATATTTGAAAATAGTAGAGCAGTGAGGTAAATTCGAAATTTTCCGAATATTCTTATTGGAATAAATTGTTAAAAACCGAATTTGAAAGAAGATTTTTGGATTATAATACATTTCAAAATGAATCTAGCCTACTTAATTTTCTAATTTCTGATGAAAATTTATAATTGAAATCGAAATACATATCTGTGTGACCAATTGTTTTAGATATTAAATTCAACCAAATGTCGAAGATTTAGCAACAGAAAAATATTGCTAAATTTCTTTAAAAAAATGATTAATATGTATCTTTTTGTATGACTGTATTATTTGTATACTTTTACCACTTTTCCAAAAAATTTTTGAAAAAAAGTGCTTATTAGTTTCACTCTGTCCGTCTGTCCGTCCGTCCGTCTGTTCGCCCGTCCGTCTGTCCGTGTGTCTGTTTACAAAACTTCTACACCCTTGAAGATAGAAAGCTGAAATTTTATATGTACATAGATGTTTACGAGAAACTTATTTCCGTAGAACAAAATTTTTACCTATCTCCCCCCTCTAGAAGTTATACCCCCCCAAAACCCTAAAAATGCCATTTTTTAACTATTTAGTGCAGTGAAATCATAAGCATTTTTTAAATTTTGCAAGCGCAGAAAGGCAGTGGCTTGTTTCTGCTATTGCGGTATACTATAGTTGAACTTAAAAAAAAACAAAATTTATTTGGCCGTTCAAATTTACCGTTATCTAAAGTCAGCTTTTTCCAAATTTTTGATGTCGTTTTTCTTCTAGATCCCAGCCTGTAGAAACCTAAAATTTTATTTATGAAAGAAATGCTTCACTTCGTTAGAAGAAAATTTTTTTCCGTCTCCACCCCCTCTCAAGTTATCGCCTCTTGAAATTTGTAAAATTTGAATTTTCGACACCTTATATAAGCGAAACCGCAAGCTTTTTCAAATTTCTATAAACGCAAAAAGCTAACGGTAAATTCCATGACATTAAAAAATATAATTATTTTACTTAACTCACACAATTAACCCTTGATATCGAGCATTATGTTAACCCCTTTTTATATTAATTTTTGCTTTGTTTCAAAAACTGCATATATGCGTCATCCTAAATATATGCAATTCTAGAAATAGTTTTGAAAATGAATGAAATAATTTTAATAGTGTGGTGGATATACATACATAGACTGTATTAGTAGTATTTTCACTTGTTGAAGGGAAAAGTGCTACAATATCAACCATTGGTTTGACCTAACTTTATTTTATGTTGATAATAAAAATCAAAATTTGAGTATAACTAAGCAGTTTAGGTTTTTCTTTTGTGTGGCCTGAAGCAATGCGTGGAAACCCTAAAATGGCCCGTGAGGATAAATGAATTTGACATGCCTGTTCTAAAGAAACATGTATTGTAAACATGATTACATGTATTTTATACATGATAATGTTCTTATAACAAACATGGAATGAATAAAACAGTGTATAAATAATATTATTGGAAAAATTGGCTTACCTAAGCACCACAATGAACATAATACTCGTAATTACTTTAAATATTTTCTTTTGCTAAAAAATTGCTTGTTGTTTTGAACTTTTTGTAATATAGTTATTACTTGCTTAAACAAAAAATTTTGTCAATAAATGGCAAATTGAAATATTTCAGAATATTAGTAAAATTATTGGTTGCATTGAAACATTTAACTATTTATATTTTAATATAGGCACATACATATCTACAAAACGAATTGACGGAATTTTTTGAATATTGATATTTTAGTTCTGGTTGTTACCGAAACTAACTAGTAAACTTTTCAGGGAATTCGGGTGGGACAAATCGAAATTTTACTAAGAGCCAAATTTACACTTTTCTAGTTATGTTAGCTAAAAGTTTGTTTCCTTAAAATTAAAAGTAAGTGTTCAAAATGCATTTTCATAACCTTCTGTAATGATTTCACTAAACAAGGCAATATATACATTGCGGTCGGTTATGTGATGATCACCTCAGATTTTTATCTTTATTTTGATAAATTATGAATTTTCAATGAATAAAGTTATTTTTAGCAGTTTTCCAACATTTTTTTAAAATTAACATAGTTTAAGTTGTGAAACCATAAATATTTTTCAAATTTTATAAACGCAAAAGCATAGTGGGCTTGCTTTTTCCATCGCACCATATCATATTTCAATCTAAAATGTGTTTTTTCCAATTTTTGATGTCGTTTTTCTCCTAGACTCCAGGTTGTAAAAACCTGAAATTTTAACAGCTTTTAGGCTAATAAATAGTTCATTTCGTTAGAAAAAAATTTTCCCCCCATCTCCTCTCAAAGTTATCTTCACTCAAAATTTCTAAAATTTTAATTTTCGGCACCTTATATTTTCTATTATTATAGGATCTTATTTAAGCTAACAGTAAATTCCATGCCATTAAAAAATATAATTATTTTTCTTAATTCACGCAACCAACCCTTAAAATCGAGCATTATGTTAACACCTTGTTAAATGTTTTTTTTGTTGCTTTATTTCAAAGACTACATAAATCGGTCATACTAAATGCATGCAGTCCCTGAAATAGCTTCTTATGTGAATATATAGATTGAAGAATATTTTCACTTATTGAAGAGTAAAGTGCTACATTACAAACCATTGGTTTGACCCGACTTTATTTTTATTTTAATATGAATATAATAATATACATTATGTTCCATATGTAATTGGAATTTTTATTTTTAAATTTTTAGAATGTGTTTTATGTGTATTTTGTTTAGATTTTTGTTTTACGACTCCAAATTTTGGAAGGGATCTAGATAGCAAATCGAGTTCCAGGTGTGCTAGTCTTTTATTAGCACTGTTCCAAAAATTTGTTTATTTTAGTTAACTTATCAAAATATATTAAATTATTGCATTCATTTAGGATGAAAAAATATGTTCAAATTAAGTGAAGAAAGATAAACGATTACACCTTTTGATGAGATGGATATGTTTCTAGTTTCGGAAATATTAAGCTCCAAAAATTAAAATTTTACAAACTTCGTCTGGCGGTAAAATAAACCAGATACTACATTCGATACAAGATATTTTCAACTATTTTATAAAAGCAATACAGAGTAATTTCGCTACTCATAACAATTTTACTATATTACTGATGTTTTAGTAATGCTCATAAAATATATTTATGTTATTATAAATAATTTTGTATGGACATAAGTAAAGCGCGGTTTTCTTTGTGCACTGCGATATATGGCATTTATGGAAATGCCTTAATATTTTTGATTAATTTAGGTAACTTAAAATAAAGTCTATAAAAACTTTTGTATGTCTTCGAACTTTTATTTTCGGTAAATATAAAATAATAAAGTACATTTCACAAAGGGAATTAAATAATATATAAGTGATTTGTGCAAAATAATATTGCTTTTCTTAATATTTTTTTCGTTAAAAATTTTCGATGTTATTAGGAGGTAAAACCAAGTCGCCCTCCCATTGAGGAAGTAATATCTAATATTTTTTTTTTTGTTTTATTTAATCAAAATTATTATTCAATAAAGAGTTTTAAATCAGTGAATTTATATTGCCACAAAGTACGAATTCATTAGTCATTCATTATTCAGCATTTAAATTGTTTATCAAATTTAAACACAATCCAAATCGCAATTTAAATTTTTGTCAATATGAAGATGAAACTTTCGTGATTAAAACTTCATTTGGTAACAATTTGATCACATAATTACTATCCGATGGATAAATTATGTCCCTACAAATTAGATATATTTTAATCATATTCTTTCAGAATAATTTTATAGTGTTTACCCTATTCGTCTATTTGAGTGCTCGTTCATGAATAAAACCTCAAATTTTTTATACCAGTCAATCTTCACATTTTGTGATGTTGTTCCAACATTGAAAAATATTTCAATCTCTGACCTATAAATTTTTTTAAATTCATTTCTAATTTACTTTACAATTAAATATAAATTATGTACCTAGTAACAATAACAACTGATTCACTTCCCTTTTTAATAGAAAAGTTTTTACTGTCAAAGAAATTATATTTTTCGCGCAACTTGGTCATAAATTTGAATTGGTTCAAATTACTCAAAGGCTTTTGACGTTGTATTTTGACATTTCGCGTTTTATAGTCAGGGGCCACCGGCAACCATGGTTTTACATTTCTTGTAAATCCAGCTGATTCGTTGTCGTTCCATTGCATTGGTGAACGTTCAGCATCGCGTACATCTTTTATATAATCTGACTCAGGTAACTCGATATTTTCCATACCAATTTCTTCTCCCTTAATTGCAATTATCAAATAAAATGTTTGTGTATTCTCCTACATGTTTACATGTATACTACATATATACTTACGTAATACGTAACAGTTATTCCCGGCAACGACAACATAAACATATTTAATAAATTTGCTTTATCACGACCAATTCTGTTAACAACGCGAGGATTATCATGATTACCGAGCTGCAAAGATTAAGTAGACTTTACCAAAAATCATTTTTTTCAATAAAAATTTTTTTTCTGAATAAAAAATGAACTTACCACCCAGTTTGCAGTCTCCCCTTCTGGCATGACATTAATCCAATCTTCAACGTATTTTACATAATCGGAGGCCGTTGATTTCTTATTTAAGTTAAACAAAATAAAATTAAATGGAAAATGAGCTCCTTTTTTTCCGTTAGCTCCATAATATTTCATTTTGACATCTAACGGTGAGTACGTTTCGGCTAAAAGTATCCTGGAAAAACAACAATTATTTCAAATTTCATATTTAACTAAATTCTTTTTCAAATTCTTTAATACCTGTCTTCTCCTCCTTTTAATTTTGTGTAATCGTCCAATACTTTACGCCATTCATAAATTATTTCAAAAGTTTCGTTTTGATCATATGTGTAAGTATGATTTAAAGATGCATACTCTTCTGGATCAACATTCGAAATTACTGGTTCATCGAGAAAATCCTTATGTTCGAAAATATGTGGAACCGCATCAATTCTGAAACCGTCCACTCCTTTTTCTAACCAATAGGTCAAAATATCCTAAAGTAAAAAATTTAAAAAAATTTAATAATAAAAAATTTCACATTAAAATACTTTAATAACAAATTAAAGTTACTTACTTGAAAAATTGATTTACTTTAATAAAACTTACTTTCATTTCTTCCTTTACTTTTTCTTCGCGAAAATTTAAATCGGGCTGCTGTTTGTAAAATTGATGGTAATAAAATTGTTTTCTTTTTTCATTCCATGTCCATGCACTGCCACGAAAAACACTCCTCCAATTGTTTGGAGGCAAACGAATACTTTCGTTTTTTTTGTCTGGTATGCCATCATGCCATACATAATAGTTTTCATAACCCTTTTCTCTTTCAACAGATTTTTTGAACCATTCATGCTGATCACTACTATGATTCGGTACAAAATCTAATATAATTTTAACTCCAATTTCTTTCGCCCTCTCAATCAGGCGCTCAAAAGCATACATACTTCCAAACAAAGGATCGATTTGTTTGAAATCGGATATGTCATAACCATTATCAACCATAGGAGATTTGAAAATTGGTGACAACCATGTGGCGTTAATACCTATCTCTTTCAAATATGACAAACGTCCTCTAATACCGTCTAAATTCCCAATACCTTTCTTCCCATCATTATCTTGGAAAGATTTCGGGTAAATTTGATAATAATTTGTTCTTTTCCACCAATCCTTATTATTTTCTTCTGCAGAACATATTGTAACTGTTTTAGAGGAAAATATGAACACTAGTAATATTGCGAGAAGTAATTTTAAATCCATATTTAAATGAATCTGATGTAGTATAATTAAAAGTATAATTATAAGTAAATTTCTAAATAAAGGCTAGTGCTACAATGCCCATCAACTTGGTTCAAATAAAGTTAGCAAACTAAATTTTGAAGTTATTGCTTAACATATTATATTTATAGTTATCTACTGTTATCTAATCTAGAGCTGTATCATGTGTAAAATGTTTATTCATGTTGAGAAAATAATATCGAATTGAAAAATAATTTTCAAAAACTGATAATAATATGCAATAGATTTGTATGAGTCTAAGTTATGTAAAGTAAATGACAAAACAAATTAAAGTTATTTAAAGTTTTATACAAAATATGCATTGATCTTTCGTGTTTTTGTGAAGTAGAAGAATGATTTTTGAATTTCAGGAACTACTTATTGAAAAACCTAAATAATAAAAAACAAAATGTGTATTTTGATAAGTTCAGTTTCAGTTTTTTTTTTTTTATTTTTTTATAGCACCTGAATTTCAATGGAGTTAAAATTTAAAATTATGTTTACTACATATAATATTTTATTCATTATTAATCACCTTTAATTAAATAAAGTTGGGTCAAATGTAGCACTTCTTGCTATATTATTGGTTTGTATTGTAATACTTTTCCCTTCAACAAGTGAAAATTCTGCTTTTAAATACAGTCTATGTTTACCTTTCACACTATTAAAATTATTTTCATTCATTTTTTCTAGGATTGCATATATTTAGGATGAACGATTTATGCAGTCTTTGAAATAAAGCAAAAATTAATATAAAGTGGGGTTAACATAATGCTCACCGTTAGCTTTTTGCGTTTATAGAAATTTGAAAAAGCTTGCGGTTTCGGATATATAAGGTGTCAAAAATTCAAATTTTACAAATTTCAAGAGGCGATAACTTGAGAAGGGGTTGAGACGGAAAAAAAATTTCTTCTAACAAAATGAGCTATTTGTTAATGTTTAAAAGCCCGTAAAATTTCAAGCTTCTACAGGCAGGGGTCTAGAAGAAAAACGACATCAAAAATTTGGTAAAAGCGGACTTTAGATAACGGTAAATTTGAACGGCCATTTTGTTTTTCTAAAGTTTAACTACAATATGCCCTGCTAGGGGAAGCAAGCCGCTGCATTTCTGCGTTTGCAAAATTTTAAAAATGCTTATGGTTTCATTGCAACAAATAGTTAAAAAAGGCCATTTTTATGGTTTTGGGGGGGGCATAACTTCTAGAGGGAGGGAGAATTTTGTTTTATGGAAATAAGTTTCTAGTAAAGATCTATGTACGTATTAAATTTCAGCTTTCTATCTTCAAGGGTGTAGAAGTTTTGTAAACAGACACACGGACAGACGGACAGACGGACGGACGGACGGACGGGCGGACAGAGGGAAACTAATAAGCGCTTTTTTGAAAAAATTTTTGGAAAAGTGCTAAAAAAACAATCTTTTAAATTACAAATTAAAATTTCGTTATTATCACAATTACTTTCATTGCATACAAATTGAATATTTGAAAGATTGCATACATTTAATATGATCAATGTAGTTATGAGCAATATATTTCTAAACGACACGGCATTTGGAAACACTTGCAGTTTCGGAAAGGCGCTAAGATTCAAGAGACGATAATTTGAGAGAGGGTGAAGGTGAAAAAAATTTTCCTATAATGAAATGAACTATTTACTATTATCTTAAACCGTTTCAGACTTCTACAATCTGGGGTGTAAAAGAAAAACAATATAAAAAATTTGGGAAAAAATTTGATAACGGTTAACTTGAACGGCCATTGTGTTTTCATCGTCATGCCATTGTGAAAAGCAGAATCAGCTTGTACTTTTGTGCGTTTGCAAATTTTGAAGAACTCTTCTTTCTTCGCTATAATATATAGTTAAAAAATGGCATTTATGGGGTGCTATAATTTTTAGAGGAGTAAAATAGGTTAAATTACATAAAATCTATGTACATATGAAATTTCAGCTTTCTATCTATAAGGGTATAGAAGTTTTGTAAACGCGTCCTCGGGCAGACAACACTTTTTAATAAATACTTTTTTGCAGAATTTCTTGGAATAGTGCTATTAAGTATATAAGCCATAACATTCTAAAACATCTTGAAACAACAACAATCGAAGGAACTTTTGAAACTAGTAGTGTAAATCCCGCAACGGTGTTAAAGTTTTTTTGTATGTATGTGATCTATTATATTTAGTAACAAGTGGATTTAAACTTTTGAATTTTAGAATTATTAGAATCTAAATCATATCGATACTTTGACTTGTAAATATTTTGCGATTAAACGAAAATTTTGATAGCAAAATTTAAGTTTATGCATGTTAATTCTTATCGATTACCTACGTATATACATGTGTCCAACTATCTTACATTTTATGAATAAATTTTAAAAGCCCATTTCAAATAACTTAATAAAAACTATTACTTTATGATACAAAAAATATATAAAAATTCCTTTTTTAATAATTTACACAAAATGCGTCTTTTTAGCCAGCCTTTAAATGTAAAAATTTGTATTTAAAGATTTAAAAATTATAATTCAATAAAATTAGGTCTTCATGAAATATACATGAAATTTAAAATATCAAATTAACAAACGAACTATAATAAACTATTAACAATGTTAATAAATAAATTTGATGAAAATTTCATTGTAAAGAAAAATACGATTTTTATTACTGCTAATTAACAAACATTTTTCTGACGCGTCTAATTAAATATTGATGGAAGCAGAAGAATATTATTAATAGTTATGGCTTCTCTTGAATGTTATTTTATATGTGAGTTTATTTTGGCTATGTTACGGCTTTATTAACTTTTACAATATATCAATTAGAGAACTGGAATTTTTAGGGCTGATTTTACATTTTTGTTCATATAAAGAGAAATAACCAACCAATTTCCTTGAAATTTAATATTTAAATTTTGGATATGAAAACGATGAACTTATACATTTTTTGAAAAGATCAGAGCTCGGAAATTTCGGAGCTAGGGTCAATTTTACATTTTTTACCATATCTAAGGAACTAGTTGATGGAATTTATTGAAAGTTAATATTTGGGTTTTGTTTGGTGCTTGAAGCAACTGACGAACCTTTTAAAGGATTCGGATAATACAAAGAAAAACTGTACTAAGGATCAACTTTGGATTTTCCTAGGTATGTTAACTAAAAGCTTTCTTACTTAAAATTAGAGGGAATATTTTAAAGGATATTTTCATAATCTTTTGTTACATTCTGCGAAATTAGATAATACAAATTGCGGTCTGTTAATGTGCTGAAGACATCAAATCTTTTCTTTGTAACGTTGGAATTTTAAAAGTAAACACTTTTTCCCTTTTACAATGTTAGAGATTTTATGTATAAAACTTGATCAAAATTTAAAACATACTTATTAAAATTTCATATATACATACATTATTATTTAAGTTTGTTTTATTAAATATTATCTTTAATTTTAACAGATATTATATTCTAAAATACATCAAATTTGTGAACATGCAATTTTAGTTAACGTTATAAACACATACTACAAATAACATTATTAATTAGTGTCCATTACAATTAGTGTCCAGATTATAATTTAACACATTAACAAAATTTTGAGCATAAAATCTCGCAAATTAAAATTAATAATGATATTGCAAAGCCAACTAGCAACAAATGAAATGCAACCATTAAATGCTCTATTTTTAAAGAAATACTTGAATCATTCTGCTTAAGACCTACATTAATTTTGAAGTATTTTCCTTGATATTGTCTTGTATAGACTTCTGCCATATTGTTCCAGTGTATATCAAAACCATGTTCACGACTTCTTCTTAAAAGTATATTGAAATCTTGCTTCAAATTGAAGCTCCGTGGTAAAAAATATCCCCGCATTGATGGAAAAATACAATTTTTCATTTTATAGTAGAAAGGCTTATGGTTTGGATAATTTATTTCACTTTTTATAAATAAATTTATGAATGATTTAGCTTCAATATAACCAAAATTTGGATTATAAGATGATAAGTATTTGAAATATGTGTCAGTACTATGTACTTCTTGAATTTTCTTTAATATTTCACGTTCCACGGATGTTTGTGGAGTTGTTTTCAAAATGAATGATAGCAGTAACAAATACTATTTATTTCCTGATTCTATTGAAATTAGTGTGAAGTTTGAGTTAATCAACTCTGAAAAAGTATTAATATTCTTTGCTAGCACAGGATTTAATAAGTTGTGGAAAAGTTTTCCTTTAAAACAAGATGACAATATCAAACAAAAAAGTAACCAAAGAGTATAAAAAAATTTAAGTTTCATTGATTTTTTTTTAATTAAAATATTATCCACCGATATTTCTAAAATTGAACCGAATAGCATTATTAAAATTTCTTCCTCCTTTAAAATTTTAAATATATTATAAAATATAAATATGAAAATAATTGTTAATAACCAGGTTTTCATTTGAAATATGATTATAATATTATAAAATGATGAATTTTCAGCAATTGGCAGTAAAACACATAAATCATCTTGTTCAAATACAATTGAATATTCAATAATCATATGTATATCATCACTTAAACTTAAAATTGAAGATGGTTGCCATACTAAACCTTCGTGCCGTTTATGAAAGCTTTTACTAGCATTAATTTTTTTAATAAACAATTCAATAAATTCACCATCAACCCCATATAGTCGAGAATTCTGATTATTTTGTTCAGATATGATCATTTTGCCTGGTTCAGATTCTACACAACCTTCAAATTTGTAAAGATTTTTATTTGTTATTTGAGAACGAAACAGTTCTTGTTGAGTAAAGTTTTGTAGTTCTAAATATTTAATAAAATCTACTTCATATGGTTTATATGTTATAGTGTTAATTTTATTATTCTTATAAAAAATCAATACTAAATTTTCAATTTTTGAATCATTTGCTTTTTTAAATATCTGCTGCATCCATATGTCTGTTGTTATTCCAATAGTTTCAAATCCAACAATAATCCGAACATTATGTGTTTCTAAATAAGATTTTTTCAATATAAGTAAAGTATCTGTAGGTTCAAATTTATTAGATAAATACACTATATAACGCAATTCAACGGATTCTGTTATTAA